AGACAGAGATAGGCTCTGGAGGGGAAAAAAAACACCACACAACACTCTCAATAAAAACTATCATAGACCTTTCATCATGCAAGTAATATGCACACACAAAAGAACCAGTTAAACCATAGCTGGAAAAACACTTTACACAGTAGATTTAATGCATGTAGTACAGAAGGTTATGCCTTTTCATTTCAACAAAATAATTTTTATTCTTGCATTAAAAGCCAAGATTCTCTCTGATGGACACTGACTACCTGCTACTTGAAGCAGACTGGAAATAAAAAACAGGACCTAGAAGTATTACTCTGATAAACTGACAGACTAAGCAGTAAATATTAAGGAGTAGAAATGATCACTAAAGTATATCACGAAAGACTAAGTATTACTCTCCTTATAAGAGTGATTTTGGAGTCAGGCAACTCATGTTGCTACCCTACATTACCCAAAAAGGGTTTGTCCTCATTGTCAATGGACAATTTCTCTCGTTTTTTTGCAGCACCTGAGCTGAATTTGTGGCCAACAGAAAAGGCATTGGTTTGGAAATTGTCTCTGGGAGGATTCACTTCTCTGCAGTCTCATTTTCCCTCTGCCTCTACCTCCTATGCTTCCTGTCACCTATGTATTCTACTATATGCCTTCCACCTTCATATATTTTTTTTAGATATGATGGTACTTACCTGATACACTCTGAAGAACTCAAGGGCAAATATCCAAGTACCCTTAAGAAAATGCAAGAGGGGATTTTTATATTCTTTTTAAAATATACGTTATCTTATTTCCAGCTCTGTAAATGGGTGAGTCCCGGGGCTGTAGAGTAATCTTTTGGGACTGATCCAAACCATATAAGATCTTATCTGTTGGCAAATTCACCAGGCACTGACCTTTCTGTTTCAGCTTGCAAGTAACAGAACAAAATCTGGTATCAAAAAAATTATATCTATGCTACTTAAAAGTGATTTTTAATTTTCCAAGATGGACACTTATATTAAATACTTAGGGAAAAATATTTACTTGTGATTATATTACGGGGCTACAACAACAGCAGACAAGAGTTTGAGATTAGATTTATTTTTTGGTTAAGGAGGAAGGTGAGAAGACAACAGGTGGGAAATTCCACTCTCCTACCACTCCTCCTCAGACAAACTTGGCTAAAAAAAAAGAAGCCAGGTTTTGGCCACCAAAAGCTAGCATTTTCTCCAGAATGCTCATCAAATATTTAAGTATCAAGAACAAAAATAAAGTTACACTTGGGGACTACATATCTAGCCTTTGGAGAGAATAAGCATTTTGCTGAAAGCTGCAATCCAGTCTAAACTGAATTAGATTTTTCTTCTTACAGAAGCATCTACATTCGGAGATTGGTAATAGCGTAGTTTACACTAGATTTGCTCAGTGGTCTAGTCATAGCCTGGAGACACACAGGCAGTCATTAAGTACGTGTATGAGACTTCAGATACTTCAAGATCTGCTAAGGCTTAGTCTCAGTGGAAGACAAATCCTTAGCTCAGAAAGAAGCACTGCACTCACCACATCACTCCCATAGTTCTATCTATTGCTTTAGACTACTGCCTGTTTACCATCAGTCCTGAATTTTGGATGCAAGAATAAAAGGGTCTAAATTAGTGTTGTGTAACAGACAGAAGGACAAGCAAAATAATATGAAAGAAAAGCAAATCAGCAAGAAAGCTGAGAAACAGGAATCTGAAAGCAGACCATTTTTTCAGTTACTATTTACATTTTTTAAAATCTCTGCAAATTACATAAACTTGAATCTCAAGGCATAGAAAACAGCACAGCATGGTAAAATAGAAGACAAAAGAATTCTCATTGATAAGGCCCCAAGACTTGAAGTTTCTCATGCCTGTTTCAAAGAATGAAGCAGTCTTCAACATCTGTGTTGGCTCAGAGTTGTAGAATAGATTCCCATACTATTGAAAATGAGAATTTCTACCCTGCTCTGGGAAAAGTTTAGGTTCTGCTGAACCGCAACTGTTGTTGAAGATGTACATTAGTCCTCTTATAATACTTCTGATATGAAAAGCTATTGCTTAGATGGACATTGCAGTACAAAATAAAAAAACTGTAATGTTAAGTGCAGATGGATAATTAAATCTATATTGAAAAAGATGTAATTCACTTCTATAGGAGGAAAATGTATTTATTACACTTAAGACTGCAATAGATATGAAAAAAACCTATATGTGAATCAACCAAAGGCACATAAAATTTGGTGCATTTTTGGTCCTGTCCCCCTTACCTCTGCAATAAAATCCTGGAGTTAAATACCTCAGAATTTTCCCTTTCTTTCCTGAAAAAAAAAAAAAAAAAAAATCACAACTACTAACTATTAGGATTTGCTTTGAAAAGAAAGGCAAGAAAGCATTGCATGGGACCTGAGGAGATGCATCCACAGGTCCTGAGGGAACTGGCAGCTGAAGTGGCTAAGCCACTATCCTTCATAGCATGAGAAGTCGTGGCAGTGCAGTGGAGTTCTCGCTGACTGGAAAAGTGGCAAATTAACCCCCATATTTAAAAAGGAAAAAAGGAAGACCTGGGGAACTACTGGCCACACAGTCTCACCTCTGTGCCTGGCAAGATCATGGAGCGGATCCTCCTGAAAACTGTGCTAGGGCACATGGAAAACAAGGAGGTGATTGGTGACAGCCAACATGGCTCCACTGAGGGCAAACAGTGCCTGACAAATGTGGTGGCCTCCTACGATGGAGTTACAGCGTTGGTGGAAAAGGGAAGTGCAACTGATGTCATCTACCTGGACATCTGCAAAGCATTTGACACTGTCCCACACGACATCCCTGTCTCTAAATTGGAGAGACATGGATTTGATGAATGGACCACTCGGTGGATAAGGAATTGGCTGGAGGGTTGTACTCAAATGTCAGATGTCCAAGTGGAGAGCAGTGCTAGGTGGTATTCCTCAGGGGGCTGTGCTGGGACAAGCACTGTCTAACATTTCTGTTGGCAACACAAACTGTGAGATTGAGTGCACCCTCCTCAAGTTTGCTGACAACCCCAAGCTGAGTGTTGCGGTGACACGCTGGAGGGAAGGGATGCCATGCAGAGAGACCTGGACAGGCTGGAGAGGTGGGCCCGTGCCAACCTCATGGAGTTCAACAAGGCCAAGTGCAGGGTCCTGCCCGTGGATCGAGGCAATCCCAAGCACAAATCCAGGCTGGGTGAGGGGTGGATTGAGAGCAGCCCTGCAGAGAAGGACTTGGGGGTACTAATGGATGGAAAACTGACTGTGTGCCAGCAATGTGTGCTGGCAGCCCAGAAAGCCAACCATGTCCTGGGCTGCATCAAGAGAAGTGTGGCCAGCAGGGCCAGGGAGGGGATTCTGCCCCTCTGCTCCGCTCTGGGGAGACCCCCCTGCAGTGCTGGGGCCAGCTCGGGGGCCCCCAACAGCAGAAGGACACGGAGCTGCTCGAGCGGGGCCAGAGGAGGCCACTAAAATGATCGGGGGGGCTGGAGCAGCTCCCTGTGAGGACAAGCTGAGAGTTGGGGTTATTCAGCCTGGAGAGGAGAAGGCTCCAGGGAGACCTTATAGTGGCCCCTCAGTGCTTAAAGGGAACTATAGAAAAGATGGGGAGGGACTCTTTATCAAGGGGATGTTGTGACAGCATGAGGAGTAACAGTTTTAAACTGCAAGAGGGTAGATTCAGATTAGATGTAAGGAAGAACTTCCCTGTGCGGGGGGTGAGGCGCTGGCCCAGGGTGCCCAGAGCAGCTGTGGGTGCCCCCTCCCTGGAAGGGTTCCAGGCCAGGTTGGACAGGGCTGGGGGAAGGGGGCCCTGCCCATGGTAGGGGGGGTAGGAACTAGGTGATATTTAAGGTCCCTTCCAACTCAATCCATTCTATGATTCTATGAAACAGTCTTTTTTATAGAAACAAACCTTCCGAAGTCATAAGAATAAAGTTAGTTTGAAAAAAAATTCTGTGCAATCCTCCAGTATCCTTTCAGCACAATGTTACCAGCACTATATTAGGTAGTTTTGCTCTAGTCAACATTCCAAGGCAAAAGGTAAAGGCAAAATGGTGCTTTAAGTAGCTGACCTCTCTCTTGAAAAACAGCAGTATAAGCTAACAGCATATGATGTGAACTAGTAGATTCCTCTCCCTTATAGGAAAAGAACTCATCGCTTTCCTGATGACGTGAATCAGTGGAGTGCAAGATACTTGATCATACAAGCCACACTGACAGTATTATTAACAAAGGTGAATAGTTTTCTCAGCATACAGACACAGGTTTGCCATCTGTAATCTGATAATGTTATATGTAGGCAAATCTCCTCAGATATGTGGAATATATTAGGCATAAAAAGGCTCTCAATCCATCTGTGCACAAGACCCATACAACTGACAGGACCAGAAGACAAGACAGTCAAGTCAACTTATGAATGAAAGTTTCAGAAATTTGTTCTAATGTTCAGAGAAGCAAAAGCTTTACCATTACACAAGAAATCACAGGTCATTTGAAAAGGCACTAAGCTGCTGGGTTGTTGGTTCGAACAAAGTGTGCATCCATCAAGAAAAAAAAAAAATGGAGCTACAGGTAACCCAGAGCTGATTTACAGACTTGACATATACACAGGCAGAACCCTCTATGCTCAACCATTTTCAGTACCTGTACTCAGGATATAACTACTAGAATACAAGTTTCAGGTTACACTATGCACATTACAGGTACTTCACAAATTATTTAAACAAAAATTAAGAACCTATATTAAAGAAATTATTAACGTATCTTTAACGACTTAAGGCCACAGTATAGAGAAGATGGAGCCAAACACCACCAAAGCAAACTGCATCTCAGCTCATTCTCCAAATGGACATTCAGTACTGAACATTTTTTCACACTTAAAAATGAAAGAGTGATACTTCATTATTATTTGAAACTTAATACTGAGAGAAAAATATGCAGGAACCCAAAAGAGAATATTCTGATAGAGCAAATATCTCTCAAAAAGTTAAATGAAGACTGGAGACTGGAGTGAATTTGCTGTTTGATTTTCATATGCTGGTTTATTTTTAGTGCACTTTTCTGAGTTTGAAATTTTTTTAAGCCAAGTACTGGTACTAGACAATTGCAACCAGAAAATTCAAAGAATTCCTACACAATTATACAATGAGTTAAACCTTATTCCCACCTCTATTCCAAAGCACATGAGACTAGAACTCACAGTATTACTCAATGAAGAAAACAGTATTTTCAGAAATGTTTTCCCTGATACTTCAAAATAAGAGAATTTTCATAAAACCCACACCATATTTTTCAAGATAGTTCAGACAAAACTCCTATGATGTTGTACCATAAGCACATAGTAAGGCACATACTAAGAAGTCAAGGAAATACACAGTAATTTAAGCGTTAGACATTATAGTGGCACAAAAACCTCTTGACATACAATTTTTTTCCCTTAGAGGACTTTAGCAAAAATAGGTTCTTAAGGATTTGTCAAACCATCATAGACCTGAATATTTTCCGTAAGGTTGTAAACATTTTGTTCTTGAAAGAAATGTAAAAAAATTGTTTTAAATCATTAATATTTTTTTGTCTTATTTTGCCTGAAGTACAACATCAGAGTAAGAAGACATCAAACTTCAACTCCATGGTTAAGTCAAGATAAGTCTCTCATACCACATCTTGAAGAACCTTATGAAATACCTTTTATTTGTCAAATATCTCTCCACAGAAATAAGGCACTGGTTTTTCTCTAATAATTTAAACCATATGAACAGCACAGCCTTTTGGTTTTTTAGAAGTTATTTGTAAATATTTTCCAAGGTATGAACACACACCCTGGTAATATAAATACTATTTAGAAGACACTCTGAGTCTGTGCTTGCTTTTTTTCAAGAAACCCAGGCACTATTTCACATTCGAATTAGTGTTTCATCTGTGCAAAGTAGATTTAACATTTTGTTAGAAATACTCTTTGTAAAATGCTTTGTAAGGCTGATTTTGAACAAAAGCTAAGAGGATGTCCTCAAAATATAATTTCAGGTAGGAAATTTCATGATATATATTGTTGCTAAGGCAATTTCACAGAAGAATCTTTCTATTAAAATTTGATCATATACTGGCAGAAAAATCAGAAAAGGTCATCACTTAATTATTTGTGTATGAATGAGCTTTTTCTTTTGATAGAGTTGGTCACAGCTGTTTCAGCTTCTATTTGAACATTTTACTGAAATTGTGATAAATTCTTAAAAAGAAAGTAAACAGAAGAGTCAGATTCTACATTTTGAGAAGGAAATTCTGAGGTGATGGTTTTGTCCAAAGTCATGATATTGACACTTAATGAGAGCATGAATTGCTTCTTCCACAGAGGCCAGCTGGATAAGAGCCATCCTGCAATCTCTCCTGAAGTAAAATAAAAACGATCATTAATCCAAATACCCATTGTCCTAGTCACAGGAAAGTAACACAAGTATTATTTCAGACACATTACACATACTGAACACTTCTACAGTGAAAGAATCAGAACTAATTATGTATCTCTTAAAATGAAGAGATAACAACTTTATAGATTTTTGCAGATAAATGGCCTACAGCCATGCCCTTCTTCCATTACACTGAACTTCAAAAAACAGGGTCAAAATAAGGCTTGAAGACCTCTAAAAAAACATTTGTATTGTCCACGTATACAGCATTATTATAGCAGGTATGATCATGCTAAGATAGTGCTGTTGAGCAACCTTACTGAATGCTAGAGCAGATTCATTGTCATCTTTTACATGATGCTTTACATACAGCTTGTATTTTTTTAAAAAAGTATTTGCTTTCCTTAAACTTATGTTATTTTGAACACATGTGGAATTTGTTAAACAGCTGAATATTTTTAATTTGATTATTCTAACAAGTATCCCTTTTAACATTTTAAGATTAGAATTATAAAAATTGTTATAGCTGTACAGCTTGTGCCTATAGATATACACACATGGAATTTCCATAAAACACAATTAACCTTCTTCCAGGATGAAAGCTTGCTCAGCGGTTTTACAAGATAACTTACGGAAAGAATTTGAAGGCTTTCACAGTAGATCCTGTATCTGAAAAAAGTTTCTCCAGATCAGCAGCAGTAGTAGAAAGCCTATTTCAAACAAACAAAACAAAAAAAACCCCTCAACTTGTAAAAGAGTACAGAGTTCTGTAATAGTATCAAAATCTCAATTCTGGCTTCTAAATTAAATTTGAACAACAAAAACTATCTCCACCAACTCAAGTTGCGTCAAAACTTTAACCTAGACATCTTGGCTTTGACACCAAGATTTATCACCACAGTATGCTGCAAAAATATTTCAGATATACTTTACTTCTTTCCATCCTCACCCATTCCTCCCTCAGTTAAATTCAGATTGCATAAAAATTACTTAATATCTTAACCAATACCTTCAAAAATAACTTTCATCTTGTAATTACTGTAAATGTTCTTCACATATTTTCAATTTTGGAAGTTTTCTATTTTACTGAAAAAAACAATTTTAAAGTGTCTTTTTTCTTATTTGGACAAAATTCCATAGTTCTCCCTTTTCCCTCCCTGCATAGCTGCCAAACAAAAGAAGTCTGTAAAAACTTATGTTTGGCTGTCTCTCCACACATTATTGACAACATTCTAGATAGGAAAAAAAAGATTGTTTCAGTGTTAAAAAACATGCTTCTTAATACATTTTTTTAAAAACAAATTCCCCTCTATGTAAGAGGGCTGAATTCTGTAAAAACTATTCTATAAAAAGTGATTATATGATTAAAAGCTGTATCTACATTAAATAATGATGACAATTATAAATTTGATGTCATTAACTCCAGTACATCATCTCAAAAACCATCTCTTTAATTGCTGCAAAAATTTATAACACAGGACTTAATATGTGAAAACCAGAAACACATTCTCAAGCAAAATGTAAACTGTATTAAACTCAAAGATGAGCATTCAATCAGTTATCCTCTTTGCTAACAATAAAAAAGTGACAGTTAGGGATTCACTTATTAATGACACACCAGAATGACTCACATTCTCAGAAAACTAGAAGGCTGAGGAAATTTAAAGCTTATGTCAGAATTCATAACTTAATAACATAACCTAAAAAACATCTTTCCAAGAAGATCACAGATGTAGATACTCACGGGATGTTAGAAAGATACAGGGTGTCTGATGGAGGAACAACACTTTGGAAGTTCCTTGAGACACGCCTCTTGAAGCGACATAGATGACTTCTGCTGTAGTCCTTCGTCAGACCGTAGTCCCTTTGTCCCCTATGAAGAAGTCGAACTGACTGGTATTTTGAAAAAGTAGTGCTGATGATCCTTCCATACAGAATCTGTCCATTCAAGTATCTGATAGCTAACCAGTGGAAATAAAATTTGAACAGGAATGAAGGGAGGGGGAAGAAAAAAGATTATTTGGTAACTAATATTGTCTTCTACTTGGTGTCAGATTTCACATTCTAAATTAAAACTGCAACTTCCATGAGTACCAGGGGGGCTATGTCATAACATACTTTAAATAAGTACAAGGATGTAATATAACTTCCAGTCTAAATGAAACTAAAATGCAAAACAGCACTTCAATGAAGAGCAGTTGATTATTCTTTAATAGCTTGATACAGGATAAACTACAGGAAAATGGTATGATGTTTTAATTCTAACATTTACTAGATTGAGATTCATGGGATTATTTTTTTAAACCACTGTGGGAAAATAATTTGTTTACATGAATGCAAACAGGTCATTATCTGTATATACAAGGAAAAGTTTGCATGTAGTAAAGCATCACAATGGTGGACTTAATATGTTTATGCTTGTTACGGACAGATGGCAAATTCTTCAACTATATTATGCTCATACTAGTTTGAATCGTAACTGTGCCTTAAAAATCAGTACCTAGGCAAGCTTGCCTTCGATTTGCCATCTGAATCAAAGCATTTTCTTTCCTGGTATACATGATCTTCACACGATGCACATCACCATACAGTCCTGTGGAAATCCAGAAAGGAAATCTGTCCAGACCATTACTGCAAACAGCACAAGGGCAAGTCTATGTCTTTTGACTAACATAACTGTTACAAAGAATAATCACCTCAAACAGGTTGGTTAGAATACTAGTATGAGGGAGAGCTTTAAAGTTATTATTTGAAGTATTATTTTCTGAGGGTCAAAAATCAGGGAAAAAAAAAACAGGATCTAAAGTCGTAACTACTCCATGTTTATGTTCAACTTTTAAATAGTGCAACAGTGTTAAATTACTCTCAGAGCCATATTAAAATATTACTATGCCAACATTGTCCTCTGCAACTCATGTATGTGCCAATTCTGTACACCGTTTCCTCTGATGCAATCTTTATAGTAAAGAAATCCAACACACTGAAAATCTTTTGACATTGAAACCGTTTTGTCTTTTTTGGTACCTGTGGCCTACAACTAGTGACTCAAATTTTTGTCATTTTAAAACCAGTGCATTGTCTTATGCATTTTCTGAACAAGGACAGAACAGATCTTGCATTAACCAGTATGTGTCAGATAAATAAAAAGAATGCTAACAATGTAGTTTCTCAAGGTATATTTAACATATCTTACCAAACAGGATGAAAAGTCCATACGTTGTGATCGCCTGTGTAAATGATAAAATGAGTATATTATTCTTAAAGCCATGAATAAAGACATCTATTCCATCAGTGCATGGTAAACAGAATGGAAGGGATAATGAACACTAATACATGAACCTGTCTCTCCAAAAGCCATTCCTGCAATAACTAGAGTGTATAGCATTATTGTTTAAATACTTATGTGCATAGCAAATATATATTAACAAGATAACACTTCATCTCAGGCATTTTCATCACTCAAGCCAGTCTGTCATGCCAAAGAAGTTATTAATATTTTAAGTGGCATAATTATTTGAACTTATTCTTTCTAAGCTAGCAGTTCATTCCCTGAAAAATGAAAGACATTTGCTAAACTAGAAACAGAAAGAGAATTCAAGAACTCCTTTGTATTTTCTAAACAGTAGACAACAACTAAAAAACCTAAAAACAGTAGCTTCAAAACATGTTTGCTTTGTCTTCAATTGTCCCCATCTCTGTACGCGACCATGACATGATAAACTGATACACATACCATTTAATTGTTTACATATGAAGCATATAAAAATTAGCATTTAAATATAGTGTTTAATTAGAAACCGTGAACATAAAGCTAAATATTGAAAGAAATAATTTTTCTTGCATTGAGAGCAGCCCTGCAGAGAAGGACTTGGGGGTACTAATGGATGAAAAGCTGGACGTGAGCCGGCAATGTGCACTCGCAGCCCAGAACCCACCCGTGTTCTGGGCTGCAGCCAGAGCGGGGGGGCAGCAGGGCCAGGGAGGGGATTCTCCCCCTCTGCTCCGCTCTGGGGAGACCCCCCTGCAGTGCTGGGGCCAGCTCGGGGGCCCCCAACAGCAGAAGGACACGGAGCTGCTCGAGCGGGGCCAGAGGAGGCCACGGAGATGCTGGGGGGGCTGGAGCAGCTCCCCTGGGGGGCCGGGCTGAGAGAGCTGGGGGGGTTCAGCCTGGGGAAGAGAAGGCTCCGGGGAGCCCTTCGAGCGGCCTCCCAGGGCTTAGAGGGGGCTAGGGGAAAAATGGGGAGGGACTTTTTATCAGGCAGTGTAGCAATAGGATGAGGGGTAATGGTTTTAAACTGAAAGAGAGTAGATTGAGATTAGATGTAAGGAAGGAATTTTCCCCTGTGTGGGGGGTGAGGTGCTGGCCCAGGGTGCCCAGAGCAGCTGTGGGTGCCCCCTCCCTGGAAGGGTTCAAGGCCAGGTTGGACGGGGCTGGGAGCACCCTGGGCTGGGGGAAGGGGGCCCTGCCCGGGGCAGGGGGGGTTGGAACTAGATGGTCTTTAAGGTCCCTTCCAACCCAAACCATTATATGATTCAGTGAAATTTCATTCAACTGAGGCAAAGGTTTTGCCAGTAACGAGTACTAAAAATACCTGGGCATCAGAAGCACTACTCACTCTCCAGCCCTATTCTTTCTCAACTCACATTTGAAAAATGTACCAAGTGTACCTAAATTATTTAAAAACAGAAGATACTGTAGCCTAAGTGTAAGCCCATACACTTTTATCATCAGCACTTATTACTAAGGAACAATTACTATACATTTAAATTTTAAGTCCTTCTAGAGTTTATCCTTCTGGCCAAATATTTTAATTCAGCACAGAGTTTATTAAAGGAAATGCCTTAATGAAGTTAGATTGTGATATTGCTAGTAAAAAAGTGTTTCTTGGAAGACAAAACCAGCTAATTTAAAAGGCACGAGGTAACGTTCAAATTAAAACTATAAAATTATAAATTGAAATAAGGTCAACCAGATTCTCCCTACACAGAAAAAGTAGTGACAGGCCTCAGACAACCGTTACTGAAGAAGTGTTACACGGTTGCCAAGAAAATGTATTTACAATTTGTATTTCCAACAATTAATGTTGTTTTGCATTCTTATTTTTTACCTTTTAAGAACTTGAGCATTAAGGCATTTATGTTGTATCATGCACTGCAGCACAAAGTTCTACATGACAACTTCAATATGATTGATATTAAGTAAAGTAGCAATGTCCTAAAAACAGCTTTGACCTATGCTTCACATATGCCTGTTCTTAAAAAACTCACTCTTTTATGACTCAGAGAATTATCTTGAATAATCAGCTGCAGAAAGCACATCCACAGCAATCATCAGAAATTAACTGATAAGACATATTGACAAATAGAAGAAAAATTGACTTGTCTTACAGCCCTATTCTGCAGCTGTTTCTTTTGATGCTTACTGTGGAACTCAGCTATTAGTACAAAAACAGTATCATAGCAATTATTTAAAGATTAAAAGGAACTGGTCAACAGATTTTTTTAAGCCCCAGTAATAGGAAAATAACTTCCATTTTGCCAATAACTCCTAATTTTATTAGTTTTATGGTCAATTGAATCTAATGAGTGTGTAAAGCAAACAAGAATTTTACATTGCTGTAATAAAATTGCTTATCAACAGTCAAGTAGAATTGTCTTTTAAGTAATGGCCTTGGTAAAGCTTGATTTTTATTTTAAGTCATTTACATTGCTTTAATTACACACAGATCAACCTGTAATATTTGAGTAAGCTTATAGAACAGTCTGTCATTTCCGCTATAAAAATAACTATTCAGGTTGTCCTTGGCAATTTTACTGCCAGCAAATTAAAAAAAATATCTGTGTGGTACTATGAAAAATGAGCAAGTGCTTTTATTAACTTTTAAAATTGTTTTTTCAGTGATTTCAATAGTAAAGGTACACCACCTGTGTTCTTCCTCTAACTAGACTAGATCCTATCTAGGATCTTCCTCTAAGTAGAGAGATCCTATCAATGTTTTGATAAGTCCTTGATTTGTCATCTTTTATATCCTTTTCTCTTCCCTCCTGTTACTCTAACTCCTCATGTTTTGTAACAAATGAAAAATTCTTTGGCTTCTCTCATGATAAAGTAGTACACACAGGAGTCATTAAGAGAGATGCCAGTAAGTTTAGACATAATATGTGTTGCTTATTTCTTCAAACATGTCTCATGTCTGACCATAGACTCTTCTCTAATTACCAGCTACACTGCTAAAATATGTTTCCTAAACTAAATTGTGTTAGGAAGCATTTCACTGCTGAGTGCAGTTTTTAAACCCCAACAATATTGCAAACTGTCTCAAAGAATAGAGCCATTCTGTTTTTATATCACCATCATAGAGATTTCCTCTCTTATTCCATCAGCTAATGTAATTTCACAAGAAGGATCCTGACAGTTGGGACAAGTTGGTACTTGCATCCCTTCCACCAAACTTACTTCAGTGTTGAGGTTGCTGACTAGTAAAACAGTAGTTCCCCGAACACCAGTATCACAAGGAATAGCTATCTGTCCAGACACTGGAGATGTGGTGCCTGTGTTTAGAAGACAAAAGCAGGTTACATCTGGCAAAAACATCAATATTCAATTTAAAAATGCTTTTAAGGAATTTAGTTATTCCTAGTATCTGACCAACAACACAAGAAGCACCTCACTTCCAGAGATGAAGAAATATTCAGCTAGCCAACAGACCCAAAAGGGGATATAAATTGCAGCTCAAGAAAGAATAAAAATAGTTTAGCACAAAAGTTTATCCTGTGCTAGAAAGGAAAAGATCACTGAGTCTAGAAGACTATTATTTCTCACTTTATAGCAGAAAAGAGGAGACTTCCTGCTTTAGCTTTGAGTGTCATTTAAGTCTTATAATTCTTAGAAAAACAGATGCTTAGTTTCTTCTCTTGCAGGTGATCTTTATCATAGCATTTGGCTTCTGCACTTATTGAATTATAAACTACATGAGCATATGTTTTTTAATACAGAAAGTAATTTTACTGAATAATATGAGGAAGAGAATTGATATGACTCCAATGAACATTTTGTTCTGACTACTACATTTGAAAACAACTTGCTCTGAATTCCAGTGTATTCAAATACACCACTAGCCACCAATGTAAACACCACATTTTAGAAAACAGAAACTTACCAGAAGCCTGAGGAAAGCCCATAACTGGTGTAAACCCAGTAGCCCCTTGATAAAATGGGAAGGGGCTATGTTGGGTCCCTAGAGAGAGCAGAAGAGATTTCAGTAATGAGAGTCAGCTTCCAGTGTTGCTATTCTGATATCTGTTCATGATCACAACTTTTATAAGAGATTTATGTTAAAAACTCTTATTGAAACCTAAGACTTCAGGTTTTACAAAAACAATTTTAGTCCAGTTTTGAAAGCAAATATTCCAATTAGCCTCAGTGTCCCTCTCTAAAATGAAGTCAGGGCAAAATGTAATTTGGACAAGTTTGAATAGGAAAGTACAGCATAGATTATTATCTGTCAAAGTCAAAACACCTGTGGTGCAATATTCAACAATTTTTATTTACACAGTGGAAATGCATTCTAGGAATTTTCTGGAAGGAAATATACCAAAAGATGTTTTGCAGTGGTGAGATACAACTATTTCCTACATATTTCTAAAACCAGTACGGGCTAAATAATACAAACTACAATGAATCTGAGGTTCCATATTTTACTAGCTATTGAGATGCAAAAAGTATACATATTTTGCTTTTTAAGAAAATGTACTTTCCCAGCTTCATAAATTACTTCATAAATAACCAGTGTTATGGTTCTCCTGGCAATTACAACCATTAAACAGATTTGGAATATCAACATATGGCAAGTCCCATCCTTTAAGATAGTTCAGTGATTTTCACATTAGCATGTGGAGTTAAATGCTACTCAGGGCAGCACACAAACTTGTGTTCTAAAAGGCAGTTAGATATGAGCTTGAGTTGTGGATTTTTTTCATGTGCTAGCACACTAGAGTTTTTTAAATAGGGCATGTAAAATCAGCAAATATATCCTGCAAGCTTGGCAATATGTCTGTTTTACTACTAAAACCTCCACCATTTACTAAAATAACTACATTGGTTATTTATTGGTTATTGACAGGGATGATACAATACCATAAAAAGTATCCATTATGAATAACAAAAACAACAAATGAAATAGATGCCACAGATCAAGTATTCATGAATACTGCATCCCATTACACCTCCTCTTATCTGTAGCAACAAATGGTCTTTCATACAAACAACTGAGTACATTTATCACACCAAAGCAAGTCATTGTGTTCTCAAAATACATGCGCTAGTGCATTACACTGACAAGTTCTGGCAATATAGGTATTAATCGCTTATGCACAATCCAAGAATGGTAATGGAAACATCAATGAGGAATTAGATAAAGCACTTTGATTCTGCCAAATAAGACCTGCATGTTGCACACTAATACCAAAATCAGGCATGTAAAAATTATCACACAGAGCTAATGCAGAAAGATCTGGAATTCTTCGTTGCATCTTTTAAGTGTAAAATAATTTGCTCCGCGGCTAGCAGCTAGCTTGCAAAGCACGCTAATTCATATATCTCTGCTTATGCTCACGGGATGAGGGAACTCTTTAAAAGCATAACATTCACAAAATCTGCTTGTATGTAGCACAGTATCTTTTTCACCAAAAAGTAAAGAAAAAAGGGGGGAAAAAAGAATAAAGTTTCAAGAGCATTTCAGTTTTGCTATTAAGACAACTTCAAGTCTACAGAAAAAATAGATGTATCGTTGTGATAAATACCTGCTTTATCTTATAATTCTCCATCAAAACTACATGCACAAGTAATAAGATAGGAAGTGTAAGTGCTGATAAGTGTCCCAACGTCTTTTCCTAATGTCATGCAACTAAGGACTATCAGAGCATGCCTATGGCAACATATGCTTGCTGTTACTACTAACCAGGAGGTTAGAAACATGCTTCTCCCAGTCTATACCTGTTTTTTTCAGAAAAAAAAAAATATCTATGCAGCTGCTTCGCTGTGACAAACAAATTTTGATACAGAAATCAGATTCTTCTTTACACCAGCTCTTCTGCTGTTCTGACTATTACGGTAAGTGTTCAGACTGAAGATGACATTGCAAGCAGTTACAAGCTTGGAAGAGCAAGGAGGAAAGAAATGGAGAAGCATTCATGCATTATCCTCCAAAAGCATGCATATAATGTTATCTCTACCCTATAAGCAAGTTTATCTTTAATTGTACTTTCCCCTTTCATTGACATTTCAAATTGTGCAAGTCTAATTAGAATGTGTCAGATCTATAACAGCATATTTCCATGGCAAATCTTCAAAAAAAAAAATCAAGATGATTGTACATTATGTAAAGATCCAAGGCCTGCCTTTAAGGGAACCAGCAAAACCGATCAAGGAAGTACTGATTACACCTCACTTTCTTACCCTAATCTAAGCTACCAAAGCCAACTATCAAAAAAGAAGAACCCAAAACAAGCCCAGTATCTGCCTTAACTATCATAGAAAACTAAAGGAAAAAAGGGACTTCTCCCCCAGATCTTGCTACTATTCTAACCAACTGGATAGCACTTAGATATCTATTCAACAACTGAGACAGTGTTAAGCTGTGAATTATTGCTAATGATTGTCATTAGAGAGAAAGAACAACAGCTAAAATCACTCAAATTGCATTGAGTAGTTCTGCCAAATCATCAGATTAATCTCTTTGGTGATTTGCATTATTATCAAAATTGATTAAATAAGCATCCCTGAACTATTTATGCCAAAAAGCTTCTCTAGTGGCTTTAGGACACTATTTCTTCTGTATCATGGAAGTGACTTCTAAAATTCAAGAAAATTTCTAAAATTTTATCTTTTAGAAGGTAACTACAAAACATTTCTAAGTTTCTTATGGTTTTGTTACAGCATGTAGTTATCCTACCATATCAACAAATAAGAGCTAACACCCTTAAAACACTTATTTTCAAGCAGTGTTAGGCAACTAGTGTAAATCTTGGATGACTGCCATTGACCATTCTGATGTGCAACATTTATTGTACTACCTGTACCAATGATATAATTTCACAAATACAGCTTTTTGACAACATTTTGAATTTGCCCAAGAATACTCCTCAAGTTACAGTTTCAGATATTAATTTGTCTTGAATAGGACTTTCTGATTTCCATACAAAATTTACTGTACCTAACAAACAGAAATGTATGCAAAATTTACCCTTCTACAAATCTGATATGAAGCCAGAGCATAAATGCAACATAAAAAGCATAATGATGTCATTGTGTATTTATCAATAAAAGTGAAGGTTTCTTACCTAAATTAGGAGCTATACATGGCTGTGGCTGCAGGTGTCGTCGTCTGTAGCCAGAAGGAAGGTCAATGCGAGTGAAATCTCTACTTTTTTCATTGTTGTACCTTACTGTAAGGTTAGCTAACCTGGAGAAATCAATACGTAGGGTGCAGCATGCATTGTAGATACTGTGGCCATCCAGACACTGAAAAAAAATAATTATGTTTTCAGAGATGAAACATAGTGGCAGTCACCACTAAGTTTATTTTCAACATGTAATTGTAACAAACTGTAAATTCATCTTCTGTTTTTAAGGTGCTGCTTTTAAACACCAAGCAGACAATTATACTGCCACTATCCTTACCTAAGCATCCTGTGTAGAGCAATATTGTAGTCCCCTAATTATTGAGTACTATATTGCCTTGTACCAATGGATAAAACATAGCTTTAAGCATGACTTGTCTTTCTAGATGTGCTTCTAATCTTGTCTCCCACTCAACACACAACATCAGATGCTATTAGTGATACTAATTTGGTGATTTTTCTTGTATGGAATTGTCCCTTAGATAAACTGGTGAAGGGTCTGGAGCACAAGTCTTATGAGGAACAGCTGAGGGAACTGGGATTGGTTAGCCTGGAGAAAAGGAGGTTCTGTGGAGACCTTGTCCCTCTCTACAACTACCTGAAAGGAGGTTGTGGCAAGGTGGGTATCAGTCTCTTTTTCCAAGTAACAAGCAATAGGACAAGAGGAAGCAGCCTCAAGTTGTACCAGAGGATGTTTAGATTGGATATTAGGAACAATTTCTTCACAGAAGGGGTTATCAAGCATTGGAACAGGCTGCCCAGGGAACTGGTTGAGTTCACCATCCCTGCAGGTATTTAAAAGACATGTTGATGTGGTACTTAGGGACATGGTTTAGTGGTGGGACTTGGCAATGCTAGGTTAACAGGCAGACTAGATGATCTTAAGGGTCTTTTCCAACCTGAATGATTCTATAAAATCCATCTTTTTAAGAGCAGCTATGCTTAGAAAGATCACTAAAGTAGTACTTTCTGCCTATACATCATGAAAAAATCATGATGGATGAAAGTGGAAAAAAAACACTAAAAAGATACTGGTTTGGTATAATTATTTAATATAATTTAGACTGAAATTATATTTTCTGTGAAGTCTTTAATAAGGTATAATTTATTATTGATACTATTCTTTGAGAAAATATGCTATTCTAACAGACTATAGTCTGTCCTGGGTTTGACTGGGTTAGAGTTAATTTTCTTCCTAGTAGCTGGTACAGTGGATTTAGTGTGAGAATAATTTTGACACCAGACCGATGCTTTAGTTGTTGCTAAGTAGTGCTGATCCTAAGCTAATGATTTTTCAGTTTCCCATGTTCTGCCTGATGTACAAGAAGCTGGGAGGGAGCATGGCCAGGACAGCTGACCTGAGCTAGCCAAAGAGATATTCCATACCACCGAACACCATGCTCAGTACATAAACCGTGGGGAGTTGGCCAGGAGGGGGTGGGTTACTGCTCAGGCATCAGGCAGTCGGTGGTGAGCAACTGCATTGTCTTTTCTTGGGTTTTAGTTTCTCTCTCTCTTTTTTATCATCTTCCTTTTCATGATAATTATTATTACTATTGTTATTATTTAATTATTAAACTATTCTTATCTCAACCTACAACTTTTACATTTTTTTCAGTTCTCCTCCCCATTCCACTGGGAGCAGGGAGGAGTGAGCAAGCAGCCATGTGGTGCTTACTTGCTGGCTGGAGGTAAACCACGATAAATCCCAACTACCTTTACTACTTTCCAATATATACTTAATCTCTAAAACATATAGTGAATTTATTTACTGGACTAAAGTGCTAGTAGCAATAGATAAATATTCTGTACCTTTAATTTTGAAGCAGAGAATGAAGTCACTTTCAATAAAGATTTGGAATAAAAGTTCTATTTAGCTTTTCAGTAATTCTTTGAAAAAACTGAATGCTAAATACCACTTAATACTTTCCAGAATCTATTTCTCTGTGTACCTTCTATGGAACTTTCAAAGTGATTTATTTAATCACTGATATTTAGGTGACCACATAGGTTAAAGAGAAATACAAAGTGTCTCGGGCTTAGTTTCAAGTAAGTGAAGTATTTTATTTTCTGTCTTTATTTTACACTTCACAGTTAAAGCGTTATAACCTGATGATTTGTAACACTGCTGTCTCTTCTGCAAAAATCTCTGGGGTCTCAGCTCTCAACATTTAATTATCAAATTACTCCTCACTGAGGAAATTAACAATATTTTCTAGAAATGAAAAAAAAATACCTATTATAAGCAAACTAACTCAAACTTGTTTTGAAAAAAAAAAAAATGTATTGGGTTTAAGTAGGAAGGTTTTGGTAGTGGGGGAGCTGCCACACCTCAGTGGGAAGAGACCAGGGGCTGCTCTATTCTGAACAGAGTGAGTTCCAGCCAGCTCCAAAACAGATCCAGTGCTGCTCAAAGCAGAGCCATTCAGAACTCTGGTGGCACCTCTGTGATAACATGTTTAGGAAAGGGTAAAAAGCCCTAGGAAACAGCTGAGAGAGAGAGGGGTGAGAAAAATGGGAGAGAAACGACACTGCAGACACCAAGGTCAGAGAAGGAAGGGGAGGAGGAGGTGATACAGGAGCTGGAACAGATTCTCCTGGAGACCACCACGGTGAGGCAGGATGTCCCCCTGCTGTCCATGGAGGTCCACAGTGGAGCAAATACCCACATGCAGCCCATGGGAATGACCTACATTGGAGTAGTTTGTGGAGGACTGTCTCATGGGGAAGACCCATGCTGGAGCAGGGGAACACTGTGAGGAGGAAGGAGTGGCAGAGACCAGGTGTTACAAACTGACTACAACCCCCATTCCCCATCCCTCTGTGTCGCTCATCAGGAGGAGGTAGAAAGGTTGGGTGTGAAGCTGAGCCTGGAAAGAAGGAATAAGGGTGTGGGGAAAATGTTTTTACTTTTGGTTTTGTTCCTTACTATCCTAACTCTATTTTTAATTGGGAATAAATTAAATCAATTTTCCCTGAGTCAAGTCTGTTATACCTGTGATGGTGAGCAATCTCCCTGTTCTTATCTCAGCCCACAAGCTTCTTTATCTCATTTTCTCCCCCTGTTCTGTGAGGAAGGGGAATGAGAGCAGCTCGGTAGGTATCTGACAGCCAGACAAGGTTAGCCCACCACAGAAAATACATCTAAGGTAGGTGAGCTTTTCTTCATTACTGAGAATGCACATTTGAAAAATCAGGATACAGATAATTTCAAATTAAGAAGCTTAAGGTGAAAACATTGATCACTTGAATTCAACAAATAAGTTGTGGCATTCATATAATCTCTGGGCATTTAACTACACTACTCTTAGTATTGAACCTCACTGAAAATATTCAATCTAGTTTGAAAGGCAAGAGTCTCTTTGGTCAACTACAGTTACCATTGCTCATCACTACTGACAGCTCTAATTTTTGTTTTGGTAGAATTATGCAGGTCTTGGGGTATATGCTACATATTTATGCTTGCAGTTGATGATAGAGTGATATCTTCAATTAATGAGGGATGTCAAAGTTATTTCTGTGCAGCAAGAGTGTTAGAATGATGAGAAGTCATGAAGTTATTGACCAAGCCATCCCTAATGTTCCCCATTTACCTGGGAGAAAAAAAAAACAAACCCAACAACAACAACAAAAAAACCACACAGAAAAAAAAAAAGCAAACTGAATCAAGCTGAATACTCTACACTTACCATTTTGGCATGAAATGCATTAACTGGATCATCATACTGGAGCAAAACTTGGAGATTATTGTTCTTAGTGAACATGACAATTTTCAAGACATTTCCATATCTAGAGAAAATCTGAGAAGGTAAAAACATTGATTTTCAGAAACAATGAATAACTCACGCACACTACAAACTAGTATTTAATACTTCATATAAATTTCTGAAAATTCATTTCTTTTGTGCGAGCTAAACAGAAATTGAGTGAACTCAGAATTCCATTTCAATTAAAAAAAAAAAATTAAGAAGAGGCTACAGAAGATGAGGAAGATGGATAAAATTTCCTTAAAGATTTAGCAATGACTGTTCAACTAAGAGCGGGGGGGGCAGCCCAAACAGGCATTTGTCCCATGTCTCCAGAGAAATTGTGGATAATCAAAGCTGAGGTTTGAAAAATGGACTTTCACAAGCCAGTTGAGATGGGAACTGCCTTTCAAGGTATCTATTCAAGATATCTATTTCAAGCTATATTTAGTGTCCAAAATTACATCTTAAAGAGTTCGTGTGACTCCAAATTAATTACACAGACCCACTGTCCAAACTAGAAGACAAAAAAGGAAAGAAGAAAGACGAAGACCTAGTTTGAGACCTACCCCTCTGATTTACAGCTGAATGGTGTTTGATTTATTGTAAATGCAAGCATTACAGAAAAAAATTAAAAGGTTGAAATTAAATATATATACACTCAAAATGAGTGTGGACACTACATGATGGTGTCTATACAAAAGCAAAGCCACAAAGAATGAGGACAAAAGTATGGCTAAGACATATATGCAAGTGCAGAAAAACTGTCCAAATTAACAGTGGAAGAAGAAAGGTGAGTTTGGGAAGTACTAAGGGTTTTAGAACAAATTGTTAGAATTGATGCAAAGTCAAGGTAGCAGAACTTTCCACACAAGTATTAAGACTAGAATGGAAAGAAAGGCTGGAGATAAAGACAAACATCTCTTGCCAGACTATTAGGCCTAGAATCATGGATACAAGACACACTGTCCTAACCCTTTGCACTCACTTTTCAATCTCTCAGACACAAGCTTTTTATGCTGCAGTCATCATTTTGTGGTAGAAGACAGAACAGAAATCTTTTTCACAGCAATTTAAAATTAGCCATTGATTTCCTGCTCATAAAGCACTTACTCTTAAGAAATTCCTAATTACAGCTTCTGAACATATGCTTTTTCATGTTTATCCACAAGACTAAATAGAGCCTTTTAAAATAATTAAATTCAATGTATATGTGGTTTTAAACCTAAAACCCACTTATATATATATCAATTTTATTTCTGCAAAGATAACACTGAATATTCTATTTCTTATAATAAATATTTTAAGGTAAACTGTGGTAAAAAGAAAAAAAAAAAAGTGTTAGCTTCTTGACAAGTAGTTATAACTTACAAAATACAGTCAAAGCTTTGGCTGACAGCTTGCCTCCTAATGTTCCATATGATGCTATACTTGCCAGTGAAAAGTTTCATTAGCATTAGCCTTACTACACTTACAAAGTAATGTTACATTGTAGCTATCAGGCATAAAGTGCTGCTTTGATTAGAGGAGATGTTAAGAACTCCATGTAAGTAATCTTTTCAAACATTGCTTAATTTTCTAGATCTACTGGGGAAGTAGTTGAGTGAGGGTCATTGGGCAATTCAAAGATCAAAAATATATTTCTACTGCACCAAAGTAAACGTAAATTAAAGTAAATTAACATGAATCTCCTCTTTCATTGCCTGCTTAGTGAAAACCAAAAGCAGCAAAACAAAAAACCACACAGGATTAGATCAAGGAATTGCTCTTGCACCCTTAAACTAGTACAGCTCCCATAACCACAGAAGTTTGTTCTCAGGTTATTCTGAGCACACTAATAATCCTAAACAATTGATAATATTTCCATGATCTTAATAATGAGTGAATAATACTAACAGATAAAAACAAAAGTTTAGATCAGGCAAATTGCTACATCAAAGTGACAACTACTATACTAGTTAATCAGTATCATTGTGGGGGGAGATACAGAGAAAGAGGAAATATTAAGAGGTAAGAGGAAAAACAAAGCATTGGTAACAGTCAACTCTGAGATACTAGTAGAGCAGCAAAAAACTTCGTCCAAGACTGCAGGTTCTTGTGAAAACATCCCAATTATTTTAAATCTCATTAATTCAAGAAATTCATACTTGAGGGGTGGTTTTTATTGTACTAATTTAATAGTAATTACAAAAGCTTCAAGTATGAAACCCTTTACACTATATGAAAAAAGTATTAACAAATCCTTTCAGGCACAAAGAAATAGTCTTATAAAGTTATTATTTTTAAACTTATAGTTCTCAACAGCACAGCACAACCTCTAACAAGAGCTATGGTAATGTCTTTTGTAGCTACAGCCCACCATTATTCCAGTCTTTCTAACAGCATTCTAACAGTTGTTGAACAATTCTAAAAAACACTTGCCCAAGCAACTGTATTTGTATATTGCATCACATTATTAAAGTGAATATAAAACCCTAAAATATAATCCAAACAACAGAAGTTACTCAGAAGAAAGAATGCTAAAATATTAGTCCACAAGTTTACAACAATCACTATTTCACTAGTTAATCATGTGGGCATAAATTAGAAATAACACCTGTGGCTGCTTCCACAGAAACCAAGAAGCTAAAAGAAATGAAAGACAACATGAAAAGCTGAGTTCAGAAGCTTTCTTCACTTTTTTTTTTGTGCAAAAAATGAGTCAAGCCTAGACCTCTAAATTGCAATAAATCATTTTAGAGTGACAGTCCTCAATCAAACGATTAAGGATCCAAGGTACTTTAGGAAAAAAAATGGTTTTACAATGGCAACATTGGAACAGATTTTAACTACCTTTTTTTTTTTTTAGCAATCCTTATTACCTGATGCAACACTTCTAAAGTAACAGGGTAGAACACATTGTCAATCATGATTCGAAGAACAGGACCGTAAATTGGAGCACATGCAGCTTCAGCACCACGAGCACCTGTATCAGACAGGTTTCCAGACTCCCTAGGATTCGCAGCTTGCAATGCACCTTGGGCTTCCTGAAATCATGACACAGCAGACACCACAATTAACTTATGCAGATACAAATTACCCATCTCTAAACAGAGTTCTCTTAGAAAGAAAAGCATGTAAAATGCACTTTAAATGCAACTTAAAAAAATGTGTTCCCTTTATCTGATTATCAATTCAAATCCTACGTTAATAGGTAAATCATACCTGTTCCTCCCCTTGTCCCTCCCCTAAATGAAATCAGATCGTACTTCACAGAATGGCTTTTTTAGTCACTGTTACTGCTTTGTAATGCCATACAGACACAATTCTGCTTTGCTTCAGTAAGATTTCATCATTCTAGATATTTTCCATCAAATCAGTATGACAGTATTGTAATAAACTAAAAATCAGTCAGTGTACCAAAAACTATTTGCTCTACTTTATTAGGATTTCATTCTCTTCAAGAACTAAGTTTTAATGGGGATATGCTTAAAGGGGCATACCCTGTTCTTTTTTCTGAGCCAAGCTATCAACTGAAAAAAACACCTTCAAATCTCACTCCCTAGACTGCCTCATTGGGACTTTAGAAGTCTCTACATTTGCTTTTGATGGACTTTCCTCAAAAATGTCTTCAGACAACCACTGAGAACACTGTGCTCTCACTATCCCAAATGTAGTGCTGTGACTTAGAGTCATGTCTCAGTAACACTATTTAATTGGAAGATGGACTAAACATGGCACATGGTAAAGATGTTACCCAGTTTCAGAAATATGTAACCCTGAAAAACAATCTTTACTTCAGGCCTGAGCCTAGACACTAGGTCAGTAACAGCGTTTGCCGTTCTGCTGGGATCTGTAAAATTTAAATATATCTCGAATGTAAGAGTCATAAGTGAAAAAAAGTAGACAATGTTCTTTCTGTAGAAAGAGAAAGTAAATGTCATGCTATGAGTTGAAAATAGTCTGAGAAATGGATACAAGGAATCTTATTCGCAAATATGAGAATAGTTTTTCTAAGGCTGTTACATATACCACAATCTTAAAAAAATCTTGTTATTTTATTTGGTTTTGAAGATAACAAACCAATCCTCCAATCTTGGATGAGGAGAGACATAAATAACACCAGATTGACAAACTGTCAAGATTTCAGTAACTTCTGTGTCAGCACAAATGAAAAATGAGCACTGATTTTTGCACCAACCACTACTTGCAATATTCTTATAGAAAACACAACCATGATACATAAATTATATAAGATATGTGTATCTAAATGGTAGGTCAACTGTACTTCATCCAGGAATCCAAAAATCCACACAGATTTCAACTACAACATGATGGTTTGTATACTTTGATCTTGTTGTGCAAAGAATACTTCCTTGTTTAGAAATTAGAATTTAAATGAGTCACCTGCAATGTTCAATTCATATTCTTAAGAAATCAACTTTTTGTACTTCAAAAATACAAGGAAGTAATTCATTCTGGTGTTTGGCATGAAGTTGCACATAATACTGATGTTTTATCAGTGAAAATACCAATATTTTCCATATTTAACCATATTAGATTTAAGATAACACTATTAAGAATAAGCTTGAACACCTTAAAATGATCATTTGCTATTCTTGAGTTTGGCAAGGCCTTGAAGCAGCACCAACAATACAAATCTTACACAAGCAGGTTATAAGACCCCTTGCAATAGCACCCATATCTGATAAAGTAAAAAGCTGCAAGGGCATGTGTGTTGTCCACCAAGACTCCCAGATCCTTCTCTGCCAAACTGCTTTCCAGCTGGTTGACACCTGTGTACAATGGTTCCTGGGGTTACTCCTCACTTGCAGGAATTGGCATTTCCTCTTATTGAACTTAATGAGGTACCTCCTGTCAGTCTGTTTCTCCAGCTTTTCACGGTCCCTCTGAATGGCAGCACAACCACCTGTATTTTCAACTGCTCCTCCCAGTCCTGTGTTGTCAGCAAACTTGCTGAGGATGTTCTCCATCCCATCATCCATGACATTAATGAAAATGTTAATTAGTACTGGACACAGTATCAACCCCTAGCGTACTCCGCTAGTGACTGTACCCCAGCTGGACTTCATGGCTCTGGTCACAAGCATTTTAGCCTTTCAGATCACTTCACAGTCTACTTATCTAGACTGTATTTAATCAGTTTGTCTATTGGGGTGTTATGGGAAACAGAAGTCTTACCAAAGTCAAGTCTCAACCACCAAACCATCTCACTGTAGAAGGCTATCACATTGGTCGGGCATCATGTTACCTCCTTTTCATAAACCCATGCTGACTTTTCCCAACCACCTTCTTGTCCTTAGAATGTTTGGAAGTGGTTTCCAGGATTAGTTACTCATCTTCACAGGGACTTAGGTAGGGCTGATCAACCAGTGGTTCCCTGGATCCTCTTTCTTGCCCTTTAAGACAGGAGAGAGATTTGCTTTCTCCAGTCCTGAGGAATCTCCTCCACTTGCCATGACCTTTCCAAGATTGTAAAAGTGGCCTTGCAATGACATCAGCCAGCTTCCTCAGCACTCACAAGTGCATCTAATTAGGACCATACACTTTTGTTTATCCAGTTTGTTTAACTATTCCGTAATGAGATTCTTCTCCCTTCATCAAGGCTTTCCCACTATTCTCAGTTGCTTGATATTCCCATGGGAAAGTCTTAACCACTAAAGACTGAGAAGCCATCCACTGCTTCAGCCTTTTCTATGTCCTTTGTCACATAGGCCCCTGCTCTATTCAACAGCAGGACCACATATTCCCTAAACCTTCCTTCTGCTGACAATACACTTTGAGGAGCCGTTTTTGTTGCTGTTCACATTCCCTGCCAGAGTCAACTCCATGTGGTCTTTGACTTTCCTAACCACATTCCTACATGTTTAGATAATGCTCTGTATTCCTTCTGGGACACCTGTCCATGATTCTGCCTTTTCTATGCCTCTTATTTTTGAGTTCAGTCAGGAGCACCTTGTTCATCCAAGCAGTCCTCCTGCCACATTCACTTGCTTTCCTGTTCATCAGGATGAACCATTCTTGAGCTCCTCCACAGTAATTTTACAGATTTTGAGACATCTCTGTCTGAAAGAAGTTACTGCTTAGATAACAACAGAAATAACATCTATCAGAATTTTACTATTGGTATAGTGGAAAGTAGTCTGTTTTTTTTACAGACATTACATTTTTTAATGTTGTGGTTTAACCCTGGTAACCTGCAGAGCTGCTTTGTCACTTCCAATTCTCTGCCCCAACAGGATGGGAGAGAGAATCAGAAGGGTAAAAGTGAGAAAACTCATTGGTTGAGATACAGACAGTTTAATAGGTAAAGCTAAAGCTGCATGTGCAAGCAAGGCAAAATAAGGAATTCCTTTGTTACCTCCAGTCAGCAGGGAGGGGTTTATCCATTTCCAGGAAATCAGGGCTTCATCGCATGTAACAGTCACTTGGGAAGAAAAATGCCATAACTCCGAACAACCCATCTTCCTCCTTTTCCCCCAAGGTTTCATTGCTGAGCACAACATCATAGGGTATGGGATATCCTTTTGCTCAGCTGGGGTCAGCTGTCCCAGCTGTGTCCCTTCCCCACTTCTTGTGCACTCACACTGAAAGGGCAGTGTGAGAAGCAGAAAAGAACTTGACCCTGTATAAGCGTCATAAGCTACTATGAAGAAAATAAACTCTATCCTAGCTGAAATGAGTACACCACCAGTGCAATTCCATCCTGTTAAATGGAAATATTATACTTACAATCTGATGAGGTGTATCGATAAACTTAAGTTCTGTATAATTGGAAAACTGAAAATAAACAGGATGACTGTGGAGGACAGGCGGAACAGAAGCATAGGAGTCCACCATATTAGTAGCAGCTTCTTCAGTAGCCATTTCCAAAAGTGCCTGGAACAAATACATAGAATTTGAGTGTTGTTTTGTTTACAAGAGAGAAGAAAACATCAAAGCACTACTGATTCCCAATTCAACTCCTGCTAGAAAAAGATCATATGAATGTACAGTACAGATTTACTCAGCATTAAAATGCATTTATGCATGTTTGTTTATGGGGATATTTGATTTAATTTCTGCGATTTCTTAAAAGGTTTTACATTGTAAGTACAGTAAGTCATTAAAGAAGAGGTGGAATAAGTATGACGTATGGGAAGCAGTGCTGTTAAAAATACTGCACTACTAAAGAATATATTAGATTCCTGAATCCAAGAACTATGACTTAGGTAGCAGACCCAGATACTGATTGAAGAAGTAGAAACAGGACATTAAAGATCTATCAGTTTGTGCAAAGCATTTGACACTGTCCCTCACGACATGCCGGTCTCTAAATTGGAGAGACACAGATTTGATGAATGGACCACTCGGTGGATAAGGAATTGGCTGGATGGTCACACTCCAAGACTTATGGGCAACAGCTCCATGTCAGATGTCCAAGCAGCGAGCAGTGATGAGTGACTCCTAAAGCTTTGCTACTGGAACAAACACTGTCTAACATTTCTGTTGGCAACACAAACTGTGAGATTGAGTGCACCCTCCTCAAGTTTGCTGACAACCCCAAGCTGAGTGTTGCGGTGACACACTGGAGGGAAGGGATGCCATGCAGAGAGACCTGGACAGGCTGGAGAGGTGGGCCCGTGCCAACCTCATGGAGTTCAACAAGGCCAAGTGCAGGGTCCTGCCCGTGGAACGAGGCAATCCCAAGCACAAATCCAGGCTGGGTGAGGGGTGGATTGAGAGCAGCCCTGCAGAGAAGGACTTGGGGGTACTAATGGATGGAAAACTGACTGTGTGCCAGCAATGTGTGCTGGCAGCCCAGAAAGCCAACCATGTCCTGGGCTGCATCAAGAGAAGCGTGGCCAGCAGGGCCAGGGAGGGGATTCTCCCCCTCTGCTCCGCTCTGGGGAGACCCCCCTGCAGTGCTGGGGCCAGCTCGGGGGCCCCCAACAGCAGAAGGACATGGACCTGCTTGAGCAGGTCCAGAGAAGGCCACTAAAATGATCGGGGGGGCTGGAGCAGCTCCCTGTGAGGACAAGCTGAGAGTTGGGGTTATTCAGCCTGGAGAGGAGAAGGCTCCAGGGAGACCTTATAGTGGCCCCTCAGTGCTTAAAGGGAACTATAGAAAAGATGGGGAGGGACTTTTTATCAGGCAGTGTAGCAATAGGATGAGGGGTAATGGTTTTAAACTGAAAGAGAGTAGATTGAGATTAGATGTAAGGAAGGAATTTTCCCCTGTGCGGGGGGTGAGGCACTGGCCCAGGGTGCCCAGAGCAGCTGTGGGTGCCCCCTCCCTGGAAGGGTTCAAGGCCAGGTTGGACGGGGCTGGGAGCCCCCTGGGCTGGGGGAAGGGGGCCCTGCCCGGGGCAGGGGGTGGGAACTAGATGGTCTTTAAGATCCCTTCCAATCCAAACTGTCCTGTGTTTCTATGACTATATTAACCCAGCTCAGTGCTCTAAACAGTTTTTCAATTAAATTAATTGTTTTTACGATTTCAGTGTTTATTCATGATGTGAACTACACTATCACATCACAAAGGATTAAAAAAAAAAAACATAAGAAATTTATTTCACACTAAAAAATTAACATGCATGTTGATTATTTAAGCAGGCAGGTTATTTTAAGACATATGTCAACATCAGTAGTGACTATGTTCTTTACCATCTATGTATTCTTATATAAGTTGGATTTAACGTTTAATAACATTAATAACAACTAGATTGTTATTTAATCCAGAAGTATATTAAAAACTTAAAATAAATATCAGGACATCCCTTCACATTTGACAATATGAAAATATTGAACTATCAATTAAATATTTAGACACGGTTGCAATTATTTCATCCAAATGCAATACCAAAAGGGTCATATCATGAACCACACCTTTGGCCTTGCTCTTATAATTGAAACATTGAAAATTACATACCTGACTTTTTCCTTTCATCATCACTAAGTTGGTTACTTTGCCAAAAGGGCGGACTAATGAAATGACATCATCTTCAGTAGCCTCATCTGGAAGTTGACGAATATGAAGGACACGTGAAACGGGTCTTCCTCTTTTAGATTTCTTAGGTTCATTCTGGTTACCTAATATGTTTCAGGGAAAATGACAGACAAGCAAACAAGACAAACTTATTGCACAGTATAGATACCAAAACATGAGAGAAACTAAGTCAATGTCAGTTCTGAGACAGCACCTATAGCTCTTCAATTCCTAAGAAAGGGCAATTCATTTATAGCCAAAGGATAGTTTAAGATCCCTTCAGCTATTTCAAATCTCCACTGCAAGGGGAGCATGTAGTGTGTTTGTTTTGGTTTAGGTTGATTTGTTTGCTTATTTTCTTGTTTTGTTTGGGGTTTTTGGTTTTGTTTGTTTTGTTTTTTAAGTCTTACAGACAGAGAGGGCAATAAGTTCCTCCCAAATGCCCCTGTAACATACTTACAAAATGTTAATTACACATATGATGGGCAAGTAGCAACTGGGAGGTAACCTTTTATTATTACTAACTTATCTTCCTACATAGTATGTTTCTTAATTAGATTCAGTTGGTATCTCAAATAGGTTTTTAAATTTAATTAAAGAAAGCCTGCTGTCCCACATGATTGTAAGTGTTAAAAAGTCTCTGAAAAGAATAGGCAGCGGTAAGGCATGAAATCCATACAGATTCTGAAGATTTCCACTTTGGCAAACTGTATTTTTTTTTCTTAACATATGCCTGTTTGGATCCTGTAACAGGTAAGTGACCACTGATTGCATTTCAAGGAGATGACTCTGAGTCCTTGAGAGCACTTTTATGCCGAACATCACATCTGGAATAGGCATATTTTTATAGAAGCTATCACAGTGGAGTAATAACTTAAAGTAGTAAAAATGGAATTCATTAGCCAAGCTACAGATCCCAGTAAGAGATTCTCCTAAAGCAAATTAGAGGTTTATGAGACTTGTTGAAAAAAATATTCTAAACTGAGAGAAGACAGCATATTTCATGGAAATTGTATTGAAGTTTAACTTAAGTGATATTCAGTTAGAGGAAGAAACAGTATTTTTTTTTACTCATGTGCCACAGCTTTTCTCCCACAAGAGAAATAGCCTTAACACCTCATGTGTTATATTCAGCCTTCCAAGGAGAATCACAAAAGATTAGGAAAAAGTATCTATAAGCGTAGTAAGTAGTTTCAAATGTTGCTGCAGGTTTTGAGTACAGTTTAAGTCTGAGAAGCAGTTCACACAAGTAATTCTGTATAAGGATCTTCGGAGGGAGTTTTTTGCTAGTGGAAGACTGTAAAACTCAACATCAGCTGATCTAAGCCCCAACTACAGCACACTCATAAGTCAACTTAACTAACTCCCCCACCTGCAAAACAGAAAAGTCTGTTACGCATTGATTTTTCCATCAAAAAGTTTAAATAGCATCATGTTCTCTATGTGAATTCTGGAAAATTAACATGTGGCACACTTGTTGGGGATGTGGCTTTAAGACAAACAGATATGTATTAAATGCCTATTAGTACCAAGCCATGACAGGATATATTACTGTTAAAGCCTAATGATCCATCCTATTCTTTAAGTCTACTTTTCAGGTTCAAAATAGACAAGTCCTTGACTATACTGAAGTTGACTAAAGAAAGGAGGTATCCTGGTTTGGGCTGAAACAGAGTGAATATTCCTTTTCAGGGCCTAGATGAGTGCTGTGTTTTGGATTTAGCTTTGGGTTTGGTATGAGAAGAATGCTGATAGCACACTGATGTTTTCAGCTGCTACCGAGACTCCAAGGACTCTCCGACTCCCCATGTCCTGCCCCTGCGCAAGGGCACAGGGAGCAGGGAGGGAGCACGGCCATAGCACCTGACCCAAATTGGCCAGTGAAATATTCCATATCATGGAACACATGCTCACTACATGGAGGAGGGGTGGTTGGGAAGGGGCTCTCTCTCTCTCTCGCTCGCTTCCGGGATTGCGATCGCGGGATCTTGGTATCTCGGGGTCGCTGGCCGGGAACGGGCTGGGGATTGCTCAGCGGGTGGGGAGCAATTACGCTGTACATTGCCTGTTTATATATTTCTTTTTGTTTTCCCCCCTATGATCGTCATTGTTCTCATTTTATTGCCATTATTAAACTGTTCTTATCTCAGCCTGCGAGTCTCCCTTCACCCCTCTAATCCCCTCCCCCATTCCCAGGTGGGGAGGGGGAAGGGAGGGTGACCAGCTGTGGGGGTTGGTTGCCAACCAGGCCCAAACCACGACAGCCTTTTTGGCTCCCACCCCTGCCAAAACCTAACAGGAATTTTGCTTTTTGTTTAAGATGAGAGACTCTTGCAGAAGTAATACATTCTGGATTCTGGATCATTATCAGAGATGACAAGATGGAGCTAAGTGGCAAGCACAGCATTTTCTCTCTACATCTTCACTGAGTGTTACAGGAGTTTTCAGGTCAGGCATTCAGCCAAAAAGGTCATTGCTTACCAGAACAGTTTCAGCCTGTGTACATACAGTGTGCAGCCCCTACTTCACTATCTACCCATTAGCAAACATATCAGCTCTAGTTGATCTGGCTTCTGAACAGTGACCAACACCTCACCTAAATATGCTATTAAAGTGTTTTTTCTGCTGTTGTAATTATATTAAGTTTTGTGGAACTTTAGCTAAGTCACTAAATCATCAATAAATGCTATCACTCCTTTTATCCCAAGTACAAAGACCTCAGCATTTTTTAAACCATGCGTCTTTTTCCAGCTATTGTTTGATACTAATTTTGATGCAGAGTGATAATCGTGTTTTATTCTGGCATCTAAATTTCAAAATTGATTCAACAATTCTTTAAAGTATGCCCAAAGTGATCAGCTCTTCTGAATTTTATAGTCAATTGGGTGAAAGCATAAAATGCTTTCAGACAAAGCTAAGAGATGCCTCGTGAGCAAAGTGAAATTTGGGGCCTGGTGTTACAAAGGGAAGTTCGTTACAATCATGATTTATGATTGGTACAGATATACTTCCCAAGTGAGTGACCTCAGATCAAGAAAACCAAAACAGTTTAGATATGCAACCCAACAGGTGAAAAAAACAATGCAGGTGAAGCAGTGGTATTAGGTAAAGAGAAGCATCTTAATATAGGTCATATAAACCCCAAATAAAGTATAGAATTATCAATGAGAATTAGAGGGGTTTTGGATTTATGAGGAGAACAACATGTCTATCTTATTTTAAAATTTAATATCAATTAGACACCCTGGACATCACTATGAGGGATCAGTGGTTACACTCATAGTTAATAAGAGTCACTTGAACTCAATAAAAATTTATATTCCTTACTAGGTGGTTCCTTCACACAAAAATACCATCTACACAGGCCTGAGACATATTTCAGCTGTTACATTACTGGTGATAAGTTAATGCTGTTTCAAGCTGAGAAGCAGCCTCTTGATATGACATTGATTAGATTAGCAGAAATATGAACAATCTGACATATGCAAGTCAAAGAAATTAAAAAGAAAAATTTTCAAGGTAGCTCCTCAGACTCTTCTTCCCCTTACTCCCTATTGGAAATACAGCAAGTCAGTCTTAGATGTTTATCAAGAGGTCCATCCCTTGCCCCATTATAAAATCAACTATTTGGAAACCACTGCTAACAGAATTGTCTATCATGTTAGTCAATTTACTTAAAGTTAACTTATGCAGCCATGAGCCATTAATGCTTCAAGTCCACATAAACTAAAGGAAGCAGTCCCATGTTTCTCTCACTTTCTACCTTTTGTCTGATCTAAAACTACAGACAACAAAATACACTTACTGTGTCTTTCTCTGGTGGCTATCTACGATGCAGTTACAGCATTCATGGATAAGGGAAGAGCAAATGATGTCATATACATGGACTTGTGCAAAGCATTTGACACTGTCCCACATGACATCCCTGTCTCTAAATTGGAGAGACATGGATTTGATGGATGGACCATTCAATAGATAAGGAATTGGCTAGATGGTTGCACTCAAAGCATTGTGGTCAACAGCTCCATGTTCAAGTGAAGACCAGTGACGAATGGCATCCCTCAAGGGTCAGTACTGGGACCAGCACTGTTTAACATCTTCATTGGCGACATGAACAGTGGGATCAAGTGCACCCTCAGCAAGTCTGCTGACGACACTGAGGTGTGTGGTGTGGTCCACACACTGGAGGGAAGGGATGCCATGCAGAGAGACCTGGACAGGCTGGAGAGGTGGGCCCGTGCCAACCTCATGGAGTTCAACAAGGCCAAGTGCAAGGTCCTGCCCATGGGTCGAGGCAATCCCAAGCACAAACCCAGGCTGGGTGAGGGGTGGATTGAGAGCAGCCCTGCAGAGAAGGACTTGGGGGTACTAATGGATGGAAAACTGACTGTGTGCCAGCAATGTGCGCTCGCAGCACAGAAAGCCAACCATGTCCTGGGCTGCATCAAGAGAAGCGTGGCCAGCAGGGCCAGGGAGGGGATTCTCCCCCTCTGCTCCGCTCTGGGGAGACCCCCCTGCAGTGCTGGGGCCAGCTCGGGGGCCCCCAACAGCAGAAGGACATGGAGCTGCTCGAGCGGGGCCAGAGGAGGCCACTAAAATGATCAAGGGGGCTGGAGAAGCTCCCCTATGGGAACAGGCTGAGAGAGTTGGGGTTATTCAGCCTGGAGAGGAGAAGGCTCCAGGGAGACCTTATAGTGGCCCCTCAGTGCTTAAAGGGAACTATAGAAAAGATGGGGAGGGACTCTATCGGGGGGTGTAGTGATAGGAGGAGGGGTAATGGTTTTAAACTGAAAGAGGGTAGATCTAGATTAAATATAAGGAAGAAGTTCTTCCCTGTGCAGGTGGTGAGGCACTGGCAGAGGGTGCCCAGAGCAGCTGTGGCTGCCCCCTCCCTGGAAGGGTTCAAGGCCAGGTTGGACGGGGCTGGGAGCAACCTGGGCTGGGGAAGGTGTCCCTGCCTATGGCGGAGGGCGGTTGGAACTAGGTAATCTTTAAGGTCCCTTCCAACCCAAACCATTACATGATTCTTGGCTCATGGAATGGGGCAGAGCATAAATTTCTTTGTATGGCAGAATTTGTTTAACATGTTTGAAGAACTATGTGGCCATGGTTTCACACTGAGCCATCACATTGCTTAAATAGACCCACTTTCCTTATCCTGCATATTTTTATCCAATTTCCCACCTTCTCCCCAAAAAGCAATCTGTGCAGATATGTAGAGAACCAGATCAAAAAAGCTTGGTGAGGCTGCTCACGGTGGCAGTAGAGAATACAAAAGTAATACATTTACAGAAAACACACACTGTTGAAGAACGGTGATAATCTTTAAAATCTTTTTTTTATGTATACCTGTTTGTTGAGTAGAATTGCTCATGGTGAAAGTGTTGTTACTGACACCGGAAGGAAGAATCTCATCAAGTTGGCACTGAAAAATAAAAGACAAAATTACCAGTAAAAGCTGTTACAAAGATAGGGCTTGATATAAAAGCACAACAATCCCTGTAATTTATTCTTCCCAAGATCACCCCTTCTATACACTTTACCCACCACTGATGTGAACATATTTTTCAGGAAAAAAATGCCAACAACACAACTTTTCCTTCTGTCTCAAGATGCTACTGTATACTTAAATGCAACATCTAATTGTGGCAAAAACTGCAAAATTATTTTTACATTAAGAAATAAAAAAATGTAAAAAACATTTTAAATAAATTCCAATTCTAATAGTTTTCAGTTACCACCAATTAAATCCATTTGCAATAAAAATACAGGCTAATGTAAAAAGCAGCCATTCGGCTGAGCAAAGGACTACACCATATGTCATATAGCCCAAGTTATGCTCCTTTGGATGGTCACATTTTCAATTAATTAAGCTTTGTCAATGAAATGGTTACTAGATGTCTAACATATATCACACTATTTAGATGGATACTGGAATGTAACTAATACAAAATCAGTATTAATTTTTTGTTACTAGAAGTACTTGGAGTATGTCAGCATTTAGGTATTGAACACCCGAAGAGCATATTTTGATTGTAAAATGTGTATCTTGCTAATTAAACAAAAGCAACAATATGCACAGCTAGTGAGTGTTAGAAAGTACTAAGGATGGACTTTTATTAAGCCAATCCCTCCTTTTATTTACAGGGGAGAAGAAAAAACTCACTACTGCTGTAACTCCAGTTGTAGGGGCTTTTAGCTTGTTTAACTTAGCATTTATTCAACAGAAAAAAGTCTGCATTTTTTAAGAAGTCTGTGAAAAAACTTGGAGATTTAGCACATTCAAGTCTGGCAGCAGGTGCCTTTTTTGGAAACTTGTAGCTATTTTGTGGTTTCATTATAAACCCTGGCCCCAAATACATCTATTATCATCTTGACAGATAAGTTAATTTCAAGGACTTAACATGTGTTCTCACTAATTCATATTTAAATTTATATGCACTGATATTAAAAAAACAACTGCAACAGACTTTTTCAGAAAAAAAATAATTTTCCAGCTTCTGTTTTCAAAAGTCCTCTTAGTTGATTCAACTCAGGATTCAAATATACATCTTAATACAGAAACCACCATCTACTATTTTGACAAGCTATGTACTTAGTTTTTGCAGAAGTAAGGAAAATATGTAATGGCAAGATTTTTACAAATCAGTTTAAGTTGTCGAGGTATTATTCTACAAATGAGAAAAATCTGTGGATTATGAACTGTTAGACATACATATTAAATGGAATACTATAATTTACAACAAAAAATATTTATTTTCAACTTAAATTTTTACTGACTACATCAACTTACAGCATTAGATAGTTTGTAAGTTTGGTACACAAAAATGCAACTGATAAATTTTATACTGATTTCTGAGCAAAATTCTTAGATGGTACCACAGAAACCACTAACTGAGGATTTACAACAGAACACCTTAATGAGCAGACAGATCTTAGAAACAAATTACAAAGACAAGAACTTACTATCACAGATCATATCGAAAGTATATAAATCAATCATAACCTGAAAGATAATTCAGCTTTCTTACAAGTTCTAGCATATTCCAAAAGAAAATACATGTGACCTTTTCAAGAAGTATTCATCCTTTCTAGCCAACCTCATTACTACAGTTTCACCCAGCAATAATATTGCTTGTGGGCTTGAGCTGTAAACCAATGAAGCAATTCCAGGTTAAAAAGACACACACACAGAGAAACACAATTCAGATCACCAGTGATCTGTATTACAAGTCTCAGTAGAACTGCCCTGTATCCACACAATTGAAACTGTAGCTCATTGCAGCACAAAATGAACTGCACCGGGACAGGGGACTAAAGCAGCTTCAACAGCAGAAAAATTATACCACAAAATTATAGCCTTCAGTCATGACACGTGCCTGTACGTCATTATCACCATCTCCTAAAACAGCTCCCTAGATTTTGCTTTTCCACTGACAGCCATTAACCTGGTAACATAGCAGCCAAAACACAATAAAAGCTCTTAAATGCCAAGCTCGACTAGTTGACTGTTTTACTTGGTCTAATAAGAGACTAGTAAGGCTTTGAGCCTCTTTCAATACAGGGAACAATCATCATTACAAATGTACAACTGTCTTCATATCTTCAGTTTAATACAAAGAGGATTTTTAAACTAATATACTTTAACTGTGCTTACGTTTAAAACAACAACAAAAAAAACACAGTAAAACATTAAATCAAGACATCATAGAAAAATTGGCCTGCCACAGTCATGCTAAGTCTAGAACCCCTATTACAAAACTTAGTTTCTTAAAACCATAAGATTTTGATTTGACTGAAACACTATTCCAATTTATAACTTTTGATACCAATACTAAGTTATGTACTTACTCATACAATTGCAGCATATTTATTCATTATGACATGTCCACTGGAAGGATGTGGCCTAAGGGAGATGCTAGAAACTCCACCATTTTTGCAGGTGAATGACCAAATTATTTCTGAAGTACAAGAACACTATGAAGATGCTTTTGAGCATCTCATCATTTATCTATCAGTGTAACTGATAAGCCTTCTCAGTCATTGATTGAAAGCAAAACCAAATTCAATGCTAAAATATTCTAGAAGTATTCAGAGATAAATTGGCACCATGACAGTTCTCATGTAAGTTTAAGTATAACGTGCATACGTTGGCGATATTCTACATTAGTAAAGGAGATGACATATGCTTCAGTGTCCTTCCACCCCTATTCATACAGAATCCATAAAGAAATAAAGTTCAAGAAGCCTGTTTGTTCAATCTCCTTTCTCAGACAGAGATGAAAGGTATTTTTTAAATCATTTATAACATGAAGTATTTAATGTGGTGATAAAGATCTGCTACAGACTGCACTGGTAAAAGGGCTGGCAAGGCCTTGTGGGCTGAAAAAGTCCACACAAGTTAGTGTAGTCTAGGTAGCGTGTTACAAAATCCTTACTGAATCTTTCTACAGAGTCTAGAGAGTCCCACCATGCCCCTAGTTTCTCTCTGTATACAAGTCTCCAGTTGACTACTACTTAGTTATTCACTGTTTAAGTCCAGCTCAGAAACAGACAGAGCAACCAAATCCTGCCTACACTTGCTATCCTGACATCCTTCTTTGCCTGCATTTTACAGACAATTGACAGGCACTTCTGTCAGCAAGAATGCCAGCTTACACTGCTCTTATGCCATCACTACTGCTTCAGTTTTCACAGCACAACTGTCCGAGATGAGACAATTACTTAATCCAAGTGAGCTGATTAAACCAGTTCACTGTGGAGCCTCTCAAAGGTGAAGAGGCATGCAGGACAAATCAGCACAGCAGCCTAAACTTTCACTGATAAGTACATCTTCCAGCACAAAGCTACACTCAGAAAGCAGCACCATAGTTCTGTTTGAGTGTCAGGAGGACTGTACCAATTATGTGGTGAATATTCCTCCTTCAGACTTGTGGTAAATGTAGGTAAGTGGAATTATTCAACACAAGGACAGCTACCAGCCCAGGGCTGGAACACCCTCCTTTGTTCCCTTACTCACCCCATCATTCCAAACACATTAAGGTCTTCCTAACATGTTAAGACTGATTTTTCTTAAACCATAAGATTTCCCACCTCTCATTTCACAAGAATAATTCTGCATTTGTATGGGACTATTAAGTGGTGATAGGTATGGTAAGAGCAGCAGAGCAACTTACAGCTAGTTCATGTTTATTCTCTCCTTTATTTATTGAGTAGGAATTAGACACCAGTTCCTTGGAAATCAGTTTGATTTCAGACATTTCTTTAGAAATAGGTAAAATTTGTAATGCCAAGTAACCAGTCCAGTAAGGAGCCTTTACAATGGGTAGCATTCAAGAGGTTAATGAAATAAATTATTCTTCTGTATCTACAACGGTCAATTTACCTGATTAAATAAGGCATATTACACAGATTCAGACTACAGCAACAGATGTCTTGAAATTACTTAAGCTGTTCTATGATTTTGAAATTTCAGATAGTAATACATGTTAATGGTCCTGCAATTCAAGTATGTTCAATGCTGCACTCAGAGCAAAGAGGTATAGCAAACATCTGAAAGTCAACAACTCCAGGTTTCTGAAGTCTTAGAGTCACATATAGTCATAAACAGGAAGGTAAGTCTAGTACTCTGAAATGTTTCTTTAGAACATGTCCATTTGTCAAAACTATGTTAAAGTATCACTTCTAGAACAAATTAATCCTATAAAAACAGCCTTTTTAAAAATTAAAAGGCTATGTAAACAAAATTACTTTTATTTTCCCCAACTTTCAACTGCAGTATTTTCTTCCTCTCTTCCTTGTTAGTCACAAGTTCTTCAGTACAGTTCAATTCATTACAAATGGGATAGTCTCTGAGAAACTTATATATCATCTGAAATACGTATTGTTTGTTTTCCTAGAATATAGCTAGTCACCTTTCTGGACTATTATTTCTTAGTCAACAACCAGGAAGAATATGATCATAGCTTTTTATTATGAGATAGCTAGAACAACAAAAAGCGGGGCCCAATTTTAAGGGAAAATAATTATTTTTAAGCGCCTTTCTCCCTGCATATAAATTAAAGTTTTCTACACTTTTCTACAAGATTCTATATGTCAACAAATGAATTACCGTTCCAAAAAGGGCACAGTTTGAAATATGACAATTCCAATCTATACCAGTGAAAAACTGTTGTTAAAAATAAATGAACTCTTCTAATGCATACCTTATTTTTATAGAATCTGATTGCGAAAAAAAAGTTAAATGACACAAGAAGAGTAAAAATTTCCATTACCTTCTAATTCTGCAATAAACTCTATAAACACCTATTACATTCCTTCCGTCTTCCACCAACCACGTTCACAATAGAGATACAACTCCTACTTCCAAAATGAGGATTTAATGTGAAGTACGATGCCATAGATATCAAAATAAAAAGATTTCAA